ATTCATGCTAATGCATATTCAATGACTTTATTAAGCAATATCAGTGAACTATAGGAAGGCTGTTTTAAGTAAGAATAGCATTGTTTAAAGGTGGGGTAGGTAAGTTTGAGAAAGCGGCTCGAGATACACTTGTTGTTATATTCCATGGAATGCTCTTAACAACCAGATAGCAATGAATATCTGAAGTGCTTTGACAACAAATACATAATAAATATCATCTGTGGAAGCTGTAGTACTGTAAAAAGCACGACCAATCATTTGAGCCGGCCCGGCTAAAATAACTGGATGGCCTACCTGCCTGTCAGCCTTCCATCTGGGCACAAACTTATCTCGTGCCCTCATTGGTCATGTGCGCGTTCGTGTGTGTTGGAGGAGGGGCTCTGTGAGGAAGTGGCAGATTTTCTCCGGTTGTGTATTTTCAAATTCTAGCGATCTCGAGCCGGTTTCTCAAACTGACCTACCCTACCTTTAATGTTGACTTTAATTGAATGTATTATGTCAACACATTTGACCATAACTATATTAGGTTAGTTTAGCAATAATATTAAGTTGAACTAACCTAATACAGTTATGTGAAATCTGTTGATATAATACATTTAATTAAAGTCAACGTTTCAGTTTTTTCAGTGAAGTGGAATCAGCTGTGTGCGAGAAGCTTCTCCAATGGAGTCAAATGGCAATGTGCATATAGTCAGGGGTGCACATCACTTTCTTTGTGAGTTATCAGATGAGTACCAGGAGACAGCGTTTGGTACTCCCCTCCTCAGTGTCTCCTTCACTGTCCTCTATTTACACTTCTTGCATGCTAGATGATGAAGATGATGAAGATGATCCTCCCTGTCTCTTTTGAAGCCTCCGATTTGCTTTCTCCAAAACTTGTTGCCCAAACTGTGAAGTCCTTGCATTTCCTGAGGCCAAGTGGAAGGATCAAATACTAAGAAATGATCACATGACTTGAAGTCATATGTGATTTCATTTTGAGATATTTTTACTTTACTTGACTTTGATGCTACTGTGTACTTCTACTACTCTACAGTTCAGAGGTACATGGTGTACTTCTACTCCACTACAGTTCAGAGGTACATGGTGTACTTCTACTCCTCTACAGTTCAGAGGTACATGGTGTACTTCTACTCCTCTACAGTTCAGAGGTACATGGTGTACTTCTACTCCTCTACAGTTCAGAGGTACATGGTGTACTTCTACTCCACTACAGTTCAGAGGTACATGGTGTACTTTTCCTCCACTACAGTTCAGAGGTACATGGTGTACTTCTACTCCACTACAGTTCAGAGGTACATGGTGTACTTCTACTCCTCTACAGTTCAGAGGTACATGGTGTACTTCTACTCCTCTACAGTTCAGAGGTACATGGTGTACTTCTACTCCTCTACAGTTCAGAGGTACATGGTGTACTTCTACTCCTCTACAGTTCAGAGGTACATGGTGTACTTCTACTCCTCTACAGTTCAGAGGTACATGGTGTACTTCTACTCCTCTACAGTTCAGAGGTACATGGTGTACTTCTACCTCCACTAACAGTTCAGAGGTACATGTGTACTTTTCCTCCACTACAGTTCAGAGGTACATGGTGTACTTCTACTCCTCTACAGTTCAGAGGTACATGGTGTACTTACTACTCCTCTACAGTTCAGAGGTACATGGTGTACTTCTACTCCTCTACAGTTCAGAGGTACATGGTGTACTTCTACTCCTCTACAGTTCAGAGGTACATGGTGTACTTCTACTCCTCTACAGTTCAGAGGTACATGGTGTACTTCTACTCCTCTACAGTTCAGAGGTACATGGTGTACTTCTACTCCTCTACAGTTCAGAGGTACATGGTGTACTTCTACTCCACTACAGTTCAGAGGTACATGGTGTACTTCTTACTCCACTACAGTTCAGAGGTACATGGGTGTACTTCTACTCCACTACAGTTCAGAGGTACAGGGTGTACTTCTACTCCTCTACAGTTCAGAGGTACATGGTGTACTTCTCCTCCACTACAGTTCAGAGGTACATGGTGTACTTCTACTCCACTACAGTTCAGAGGTACATGGTGTACTTCTACTCCACTACAGTTCAGAGGTACAGGTGGAGTACTTCTACTCCACTACAGTTCAGGAGGTACATGGTGTACTTCTACTCCTCTACAGTTCAGAGGTACATGGTGTACTTCTACTCCACTACGTTCAGAGGTACATGGTGTACTTCTACTCCACTACAGTTCCAGAGGTACATGGTGTACTTCTACTCCACTACAGTTCAGAGGTACATGGTGTACTTCTACTCCACTACAGTTCAGAGGTAACATGGTGTACTTCTACTCCTACTACAGTTCAGAGGTACATGGTGTACTTCTACTCCTCACTACAGTTCAGAGGTACATGGTGTACTTCTACTCCACTACAGTTCAGAGGTACATGGTGTACTTCTACTACTCACACAGTTCAGAGGTAGCATGGTGTAACCTTTACTACTACAGTTTCAGAGGTACATGGTGTACTTCTAACTCCTCTACAGTTCAGAGGTAACATGGTGGTACTGTCTACTGCCATCTACAGTTCAGAGGTACATGGTGTACTTCTACTCCTACTACAGTTCAGAGGGTACAATTGGATGTACTTCTACTCCTACTACAGTTCAGAGGTACATGGTGTCTTCTACTCATCTACAGTTCAGAGGTACATGGTGTAACTTCTACTCCACTAACAGTTCAGAGGTAACATGGTGATACTTCTACTCCACTACAGTTCAGAGGTACACTGGTGTACTTCTACGCCTCTACAGTCAGAGGTACATGGTGTACTTCTACCTCCACTACAGTTCAGAGCGTACATGTGAGTACTTCTACTCCACTACAGTTCAGAGGTACATGGTGTACTTCTACTCCTCTACAGTTCAGAGGTACATGGTGTACTTCTACTCTGACTCCACTACAGTTCAGAGGTACATGGTGTACTTCTACTCCACTACAGTTCAGAGGTACATGGTGTACTTCTACTCCACGACAGTTCAGAGGTACATGGTGTACTTCTACTCCTCTACAGTTCAGAGGTACATGGTTGTACTTCTACTCCTCTACAGTTCAGAGGTACATGGTGACTTCTACTCCTCTACATTCAGAGTACATGGTTCAAAAAAAAAACAGTTCAGAGGTACATGGTGTTACTTCTACTCCACTACAGTTCAGAGGTACATGTGTACGTCTACTCCTCTACAGTTCAGAGGTACATGGTGTACTTCTACCTCCTCTACAGTTCAGAGGTACATGGTGTACTTCTACTCCTCTACAGTTCAGAGGTACATGGTGTACTTCTCCTCCACTACAGTTCAGAGGTACATGGTGTACTTCTACTCCACTACAGTTCAGAGGTACATGGTGTACTTCTACTCCTCTGCCATCCATGGAGGACCTTTACTCCCAGCGGCTCAGGAAGAAATCACTACGGATTATCAAAGACCCCCATCACCCAGCCACAAACTGTTCTTTCTGTTGCCGTCTGGCAGACGTTACCGCAGCATCCTGGCAAGGACAAGAAGATTCGGAGACAGTTTCTTCCCGCGGGCAGTGAGACTGTTACAAAATTGAACTGTTGAAAACAACATCAAACATTCAACTGCTACTCAGTAGTATGTATCTAATACCTAATATATATATATCATTCCAATAACTTGTATATAGACTCATACTGCACTATTCCACATCATAACTTTATTTCATTTTTATAACTATTATTATTTTTGTATTGCTCTTGCTCTTATTGTTATTATGTTATTATGTTGCATTGTTGGAGAAGCCTGTGACATAAGATTTTCAACTGCATAATTACTCTGTAGCTATGTTAGATTGACAATAAAGAACCTTGAACCTTGAACCTTGAATGATGTGAAATATAACCAAGTGTTAAATCAGACTTTAGTTCCACCTGGAGTAAATCCACAAGCTACCCTGCAGTATACAAAGTCATTCAAACTAGCTGCACCTTTACCAGCTTTGAGAACACTTTCATGATCAATCATTATAAAACATATCATAGATATTATTCTGAAATGGAACAATCTACTTTTACTTTTGGTAGTTTAACTATATTTTGATAATACTTTTCTAATTTGACTAACGTAACATTTTGAATGCAGGACTTTTACTGTAACAGAGTATTCCTACACAAGGTCTGAGTACTTCTTCCACCTCTGTCTGATTTCAAACTCTTCCATGAACACCTGAGTAAGTTTGCACCTGTGTGTTTCACTCCACTTTGTTGTAAACCTGCAGCAGCTTGACCACAGAGCGTGAACGTTGTGATCAGCTGATGTAGTGCAGTTCTCCAGTGTGTGCTCAGGGGCACAGAGTGTGCTCAGGGGCACAGAGTGTGCTCAGGGGAGTCTCCCTCTGCAGCCAGCTGGCGGAGCTTTGGCACAATGCTGTTGTTCACACCGACGTTAACCCTGCCTGTGCACACGGTGACCAACTCTGGCGTCCAGTGATCTGAGCCTCTGCCTCCTGTAAAGCTTCACAGGTCCGTCGCCCAGCTCCAGTTCAATCAGTCAGAGAAAACGGCAACGTAGCTGCTTGATGTCTTTGTTTTGTTTGACATGTCTAGTAGTCTACTCCATTGAGCGTTGACAAGAAACACGTGTAGACGAAATATGTGTTTTGTGTTGATGGTTTGAGGTACGCAAAGGCGCGTAGTGACACAAGTGACGTTACGCAATTCAGATTTGTGCCGCGTATGCGTACCTGCGTACCAGTTATGTGCACCCCTGCATATAGTCATCCGTGGTGCCCACATCTCTCCCATGATAAAAAGTCTGATTTTTGATAAAAAGTCAGAATTTTGATAAAAAGTCAGAATTTTGAGAAAAAGTCTGAATTTTGAGAAAAAGTCTGAATTTTGAGAAAAAGTCTGAATTTTGAGATTCTGAGAAAAATACCAACACATTAGTTTCTTTTTTTTGACTACTTCTATTCTTGAGAGGATCATAAATACATGGAT